ATTCGTGCCACCCAGGAAACCTTGGATAGAGATTTATATAGGTATCTACAGAGATAAAGACGAATATTAAAGAAAACTCATGCTATGGGTCATGGTCACAATATTTGGTAATATGTTCTACTGCATTTTTATTTTGAAAATTTTAGGGTGTATATTGTATGTTTCCTCAGCAATAGAAATATATATATAGCATATAGCAATGATTGCAACTTGTGTCTTCTAGTTGGTTCAAAGAGTAATGTGATTTTGTAATGCCTTCTTTCTTCTACTTTTCCAACCGTATCACCTTATTTATCATTTTTAATGCTGCAGGGCATGCATTACTATTTTAAACGAAAAAAAATTGAGAGTTGATTTAAAAAAAAACAATACCCTTTCAAATATATACTTTAGGGGATCACAAAGAAAGGATTATAAACAAGTAATCATAAGTTCAAGAGCTAAAAATACATGATTTTTTTTCCCTCTTGACCTTATTTGTTTTACTTGAACACAATGATATTCACATTCTTTGTGTTTCTCTTACACCTACTGGTAAATATTTCAATATCTCATAAAAGATACAATACCATATGCCTTCCTACAGAGAGGACTCACATCAACTCTCCATACTGACCTTTTTAGCAATTGTAAACTGCACAGGAGAAGATAGTAGATATTTTTCCTTTGGTGCAGCTGGTGGATTGGAGCCATCACAGGTGCTGTCGTTGGATTAGTAGTACAACTCCCAATAGATCATGCCACCATAGCTTCCTAATCTTCCTCTAGTACTCTTTTTTTTTTCCTTTATTGCTGGGATTTTTCTGAGATTTCTGGAAGTAATCAAAAATTATTTTTCCCAAATATTGTGACTATAGCCCATGGTATGAAATATTTTTCTTATGTTTGCTTATCAGTGTTGTAGAAGGTAAACTGTGTCATATTGTATTATTTTCCATCTCTAAATTAATTAGCTACACAGAAGCTGCTATATTATTAATGAAAGGCAAAGGTTATGCAGAATTCCAAACTATTAGACTAGATTCCTTAATTTCTTTTTCCCAATTAAGTGTCAACAATGGGTTGACTGTGTTTACTTTTGCTGTGAGATCTTATAATCTACTAAAGTAGCCGAACACATGCTTAACATGCAGATTTTCTCTTCTAGTGGGCAGGATGGAGAAATTCTATGGCTCATATAAGATATTTGCTATGAAGGGGAAAATTGGCTTGGGTTAAATCTACCCTTTAGCTGATGTATGATCATCTCATCAAAATCTGGTGGGATTAGGACAAAAGCATCAGCAGCTAGCATTGTGGTCTGGGACTTGACTTCTCATTACTGTGGAGGACAATGATGAATGGCTTTGTTAAGACTGGAGCAGGAAGTGTGGTCCAGTGAGAACCTGAGATCCTGAGTTTCCTGCCTGCGAGTCACAGGTGGATGACAGAGGTGGGACTAGCCTTAGTTTTCTCATTTATGCTATGAGAGAATTGGACTAAATGAGCTGTAGGGTACCTTTCCAGACTTACACTTTGCGAAAAAATGAATCTCAAACTCACTGCTGTGGAGTTGGAACCAACTCACAGCTGACCCTCCAGTGGATATTCAGAGCCTATAAATCACACAGGATTTAGAGGCGATTTTTCATCTTTCTCCAGCAGAGCGGCTGGTGAATTTGAACCTTCTGCCTCTAGGTTGGCAGTCCAACTCCCTATCAACTAGGCCACCAGGGTTTTAATTTTTTTTTAATTAAAATGTTTATTTTATTCTAGTTCACTTAAAAAGTTTGTAAACTTTATTTTTCACACCAGATCCTTCCCATTTCCTTGACCCACTCCTCCCTCCAGCCATCGAATTGTATGAGCCTATGATTGCCGCCTTCCCCTTCCATCCACACCCCTCTGCTCCTTAGATCCTCATACACACTTTATTCTTTTATCTATTTCTACAATAACGGTCTTACGCAGTATTTGTCTTTATGGAACTGAGTTAATTCTCTCAGCATAATGCTCCCCTGTCCTTCCCAAGTTAGGTAGTAATTTTGAAAATCATTGCTCCTGCTTGCTGCTAATTATCTTATCTACGAATGTACCATACTTTCTCAATTCGTTTGTTTGTGGTTGGACATTTGAGCTGTTTCCATGTTCTTGCAATGGTGAATAACGCTGCTATGAACATTGGTATACAAGTCTCCGTTTGTGTCTCAGTTCTAATTTTCTCAGGCTATATTCTAAACAGTGGAATAGCTGAGTCAATCTTGAAAACAAGAGGTTTATAAATATGTCATCAAATTCTTGTGCAGAACGTGGAGATTAAAGCTGTGACTGCTAAGGTTATAGTAGTTTCCCCAACCTGGTATCCAAGAAGGTGCTATTCCCTTTCACCCCGAATATCTGATTGAACCCTTTTATGTAGTCTTTGTAAGAATAGTTTGGCTGGAGTAGAATGATTGTAGTGTGGTGCTCTTTGGGAGCCCATGTTGCATAGACATAGCAACTGATACTCACAATGTAAGACTTTGAATAAAGAGAATTTATAACATGACTTATTGATTAGTAAATTTCTCAATAGGTAAAATATTTTAAAAATAAGAAATTATTAATATATTAAATCACTGGAGAATAAATAAAACCAAGAATCCACAATTCTTTATCTTGAACCTGTGGGGCCAATCATATATGGTCAAATTCAGTTATTTCTGGATTTAAAAGTGGTAGGTAGAATGGCTGGATCATATAGTGCATCACCTCTTTAAATGGGGCCTTGTCCAACATTATTAATGAAACATATTGTTATTTCTACTCTGAAACATGTAAATGGTGACCCTGAGTGTACTTTGAAAAAATGTTAAATGGTCTTATGTTGCTTCAGGTGATATTTTGGTTCCAAATTAGTTTGATACAAATGTAAAAAAAAAAAGGACAAAGCTTTTTAGATTTTTTTAGAAATTGTGGTTAAGGTGTTAATTTATGAGTAAGTATCTTAAGATAGTGCCCTTTTCACTTACCTTTGTAAGCAACTTGGCAAAGTAGACATTGTTATCAAGTATTTATAAATCAAGAAACTAAGATTTTACCAGGTTTCTGAGTTGCTAGGGGTTACATAGATAAGAAAGTGAGAGAGCTAAGGTTTGACTAAAAAAGGCGAGGGTGGCCTTGAATGTGTAACAAGGGCTTCTTTCTTCATTCTCCATAGTAATCTTTATGTAATGATAGTAAAAGTTCATCAGCTTAACACTCATAAATTAATGATGCCCATCCCTCAGTTCTCAACACAGAAACACACTGTTGGACATCTCCCTGTAGCCCTCTCACTGACCCAGCACACACTCCCAATAGAAGCTTATTTTCCATCAGCTCTTTTCTTCTTTCAGCATTCTATACTCTACCCTCATCCTTAACCCTCCCTACCCAACACTATTCATCAGAAATCTGGTGGGAGTGGGATTGAAGAGCTAAAGAGATGAGGTGAGATTTTCAACTCAATTTTATCAGTAAGAAATCTCAGATAGTTTAGAATCTAAAAAACAAAACTAAAAAAAAAAGACAATAACAACTCAAACTTGTTGCTATTGAGTTGGATCCTTCTTTTCTTAATATTTATTTATTTTTCATTTCAGTGAACATCTACAGAGATTTTGGAATTCCATTCATTCATTGTTACACCCTTCTCCCCGCCCATCCCCTTCCTCCCCACCCCCCCATTTGCTCC